TTAAATATAGTAAAATACAAATTTTTCTCTTTATATAAAAGTTTTCAATTTTACTAATAAATATTTTTTATTTTTAAAATAAAGATAATATTATATATTTTAATATATATTTTTTTAGATTTTTTAAATTTAATCTAATAAAGCTATTCTAATTATATATAAAGTTAATTATATATTTTAATTATAAAAAATAATTAATTTTATATATAATTAGAACAGTTTTATCAGATTAAATCTAAAAAATCTAAAAAAATATATATTAAAATATGTAATATTATCTTTATTTTAATGTAAAAATAAAAAATATTTATTAATAAAATTAAAAATATTTATATAAAGAGAAAAATTCATATTTTACTATATTTAATTAATAAATTCTATTATTTCTAATTGTCACTATATGTAAATTTATTAATAAAATATAGTAAAAATTTAAATTTTTGTCTTATATTAAAATTTTTAATTTATTAATAAATATCAAAATAAAGATTATAGATTATAGTTTAATATAAATTTTTTCTAAATTTCTAGATTTTTTTGATGTTATTCTAATTGCAAAAATTTTTTATAATTAAAATATAAAATTAATTATAAAAAATTTTTGCAATAACTTTATAATTAGAACAATTTTGTTAGAAAAAATCTAGAAAATTATAAAAAAATATATGTTAAACTATAACTTATAATTTTTGTTTGAATATAAAAATAAAAAATATTTTTTAATAAAATTAAAAACTTTTATATAAAATAAAAATTTTAATTTGTTAGTTACTATATTTATATAATTAAATTTAATAAATAATATATTTTTAAAGTTTAGAACTAGAAAAATCTAAAAAATTTATATTATTTATTGTATTACAATTAGTATTTAATTATTATTAATATTAATTAATTAATTTTTAAATAATATAACTTTATTATATTTATTAGTAAAAGAATTATTAAGTATATTATATTTATATCTAGATAAATTATCAGAATTTAAAAAAGTATAATTAATATAATAAAAATTAAAGTTTTTTATAACAGTATTTTTTTAATATATATTTTTTGTAGAATTTTTAAATTTAATTCAAGAAATATTTCTAATTATAAAATTGATTACACAAACTTTTATAAATAAATACAAATTTTTAGTTATATTTTGAGATAAAAACAAAAAACACTTATCAATAAATAGAAAAGTTCATTATAGAAGAAAAGTTCAATTTTTACTATATTTTATTATACTTTTTTTGGATTTCTAATAATTTATTATAGAAATATGTAATAGTAGAGATGTTTCTTTTAAATTTTTTATTAAATAAACAATTATTCCTTTTTTCCTTATTTATAAATTTAATATTTTCAATAATAGTGCAAAGCAAAATCTGTTTTTAAGTATTTTGGAGGAATTTAGTAGTTTTATGATATATAAGAATTCAAGCCAATTTATTTATAATCATTGTTGAAAATCAATTTTCAAAAAAATTATATTATCCTTTGCATAATTAATAAAATTTTATTTATGTTATTAAAGTTTATAATTAGTAAATTAGATTAATACATTATTTGACAATAAATACAGGAAATTTATTTTTAATTTAAATTCCATAATTTCTTTGTGCAAAATCTCAAAATATAATGGCATTTAAAAAATTATGAAGTTTGTAAAGTATATGTCGCTGTCTGAATTTATTTATATATTTTTTATGAACTTCGCTGATTTAATAAATTTTAAATAATACACATGTAGATTTTTTCAGATTTTTTTTATTTTCAATTCATATGAATAAATGCGATTAACAATAATAAAGTTTAAAAACTATTACTGAATTTGTACACAGTCAATAATCTCATTGAACCGAAGCGAGCATAAAATTTTAAAGAACTCAGTTTATCGAATAAATCCTGTTTATCAAAACAGGTTTGCTGTAACTATGGCTATTCCGGGAACCAAATTCAGTTTATGCAAGTTTAGTTGGTGCTTCTAATTAACGGTGCTGACTATGTATTAAGAGAAATTTATGTAACGTTAATTAATGATAAATAAAAAGCTCAAACGTTTGTGCAGCCGTTATCTACACGTTAAAACATGTTTGTCTATAATAAGTTTTGATTTTATGAATAAACTTTCTTTATTATTGTATTATATGCAATATAATTCTTTGTTCATATGCAAATGAAATTTCTATTAATGCTGGTACCGAAAATGATCCGCTACACAGTTAATAAATGAACGATTGATATTGCGGATTCGGACGAACTATTTTTCGGAACCAGTTATAAATAGCATTATATAAAGATAATGCACAATTATCCGATGCAACGAGACGAATAAATATTATGAATAGTGAAGTTCAGGAGACCCATAAGATTGTGCACTATGCGGTTGTCCATAATGTGGATTTTGCGCAGCATATTGTTGAATTGGTTGTTGAATTGGTTGTTGAATTTGTTGTCGATTTGGTTGTTGATTTGTTGAATGTAGTTGATTTTTATTATTATTGGTATCGGTATTAGTCTTAGTCAACGTTTCCAGAAACTTAACATCGACCACATAATCTCTCAAAAAGAACTCGAGTGCATCAACTCGTTGCTTTAAATGTTGAACTGAAGGATCTTGTGACTGTGGAATTAACTTGCTTTCCGGATCAGATGTACGATCAATTAATGGTAACACGGAAAACGTTTGGCGGAAATGGGATTTTGCCTTTGGTGCGAAAAAGCAACACCATGATTGTGCCCAACCCCAGGGTTTTTGTGCGTCAGTCCCTTTTTATAATATAGATTTTGAGATGAAGGAATGTAAAAAGATAGTAGGATAATATAATAAAGAATCTTACCAAAGCATAGTGTATATACTCCAGCGGCAAGACTCCATGCGCCACCAAGCAAAGCGAGCGAACTTATAAACTAAATACAGTAATCAAAAAATAAATAGTGTTACTTTGTTTCATGCTTATAAAAAATTTACTACTTACTGTTTTTGACCTATAAAAGCAAAAAAAAAGCACAGAATAAATCATTTAATCGCGATAACAAACAAGTTTACGAAAAATAATCAAATTTACCTTTGTTCGGTCTCGACCGTAACAAAAAAATGTTTAGGACGCACAGCGACCACACCATATACATTTACAGTTGGATCAACATCAATAAATTTAGAAAGCGGTGAAGTTGCTATAAAAATAAAAAATAAAAATAATTATTCCTGATTTTGAATTTAAGCTATGAAATTGTGTGATTACACACTTATATCGGTAATAATGTAAGGTTCTCTACTATGCTTTGGCGGGATTCCGAAATCTGTCCATGCAGTTTTCTTGATGACTTCCTTAATTGATCTTGTGTATCCAAACATTGAATACTATTAATCAAAAAAATTTTGAGTTGAATATAACTGCTTTTCAGCTAGTAAAGGAAGCAAAGACAATCGTGAGTTTTTTTTACGAGATCATGCTATATACATAAATGAAAAAAGAAAGTTAGTTAGTATAAAGTTGAATTATTTACGACAGACGGGATAACAGCTTACACTAAGACCATAAAGATTTATCCCATAAATCGACTGCAAATAATTGTAATCGTGATTTTTGAGTATATCGATATTTGAATTTTCTGAATTAAATATATTATTTAATATAATATATTGCATTTATGTGTGCAAAATAATAATAATGATAGTCAAAATAAAATTTTACCCGCATCAGCAGTTAGAATAACCAAATTTCCCGGACTAGAGGAATTAAAATTGGAGTCGGTGACTATAATATAAAAACTCAGAACAAGAATCCCGTTTTGTGGACCATCTGGTAGATTTGCCTTAAAACTACCGTTAGTTTTAAAGACCGCATAGTAATATTGGTCAGAAGGGTATTGTTTGATTGCGCTCATACAATCATAAGACGTTGTGTAATCTTTATAATAACGATAATAGTTTTAAATCTATTTTACTTATATAGTAATGACAAAGACATTATTTAACAATTACCAACGAGCAACGCCGAACAGAAAAGCTCGAACTTGTAATCCATCTTAAAAAAGAAATCTAACATTTATTTCAGTAAATTCACAAAATTGAGTTCCATAAGAATAGCAAATTAGATCAAAATACAGAAAAGAAGAGGGTAAAAAACCTGGAATTGGCAAATACTCCGCTTGCGACATCGTTTGCTGGATTACCGGGTTATCATTTACTATGTCAACTATAAGTATAACTGAATACCCTGTCAACGTCGCTATTATCAATATCATTATACATGCGCGAAGCATAACCAAATGAATTGGTTCACTTCTTCGATATCCTCGAATAATGCCTTCAAGATACATTTTTTTTGATATTTGAATATTTTATACAAATATACGAATTTCTTTCTGATTTAAACTCCCTTTT